CTCTTTGCGACGAAGAAGACGCAAAACCCAACTTAATTGAATTTTTATTCTCGCGTAGCACGGTATGTGTGTTTTGTAATACGGAAAGCAAAAGGCTCACATTGCGTTCTCAGTTATAAGCTTGTTAATATATATCATATAATTAAATCTTTTTTCTTTTTCTAGGAGTTACACAATGAAATTATTGTTACAAGTATTTTACTTTATTTAATAATCATGCTAGTTCTGGAATGTATTTCTTTTGCAGAAGTTATTCCATAATAATAAGCAATAAATTGTTTTAGTCTTTATTAATTATTTGGAAAACTTGTAGTACATCAAATTTACTGCCATTTACTACATTGATGCTATTATAAGAACTTGGCGAACTACAAATATCACCATTTATATTAAAACGAATATCATGAGAAAGAGTACAACAAATTGCATTATTATAGCTATTTGAATTAGTATTAGGATTAGAAATAAAATCATAACCACTGCCAAAAGCAGGCAAATAATAAGGATTACAATAAATTGCATTATTATTATAGCTATTTGAATTAGTTTTAGGATTACTATATTTTGCAGTACTAATGTAATTTCTATTGCTAATGTTAAAAATAAAGCTTTCATTTGTACTTTTACAATCATCTCCACTCCAATCAAATGGATTATAACCTCCAACAATTTGATCAGAATCATTTATTGTAGCTACCACAAGAGTATTGCTGATATTATCACATTTTTGATGAAATATATCTGCATTTAAACCATCATTACTACTTCGATATAAAGGTTTAAATTTATATTTAACATCTCTAAATGAAGTGTATGGTGGATTCTTTTTATCAATCCAACTTGCAAATAATTTAAATATTTGATTTCTTGATGGTAGTAAACGTAAATTTGATTGATCTCCAGGAAATATATAATAAAGTAAGATATTATTCCAGAAAGCTTCAGGAAAAAGCTTTTGATATGGGAAAATTTCATAACTAAAATCTTTATTAGTGATGTCCTGGAATCTAATTAAAGGAAGAAATTCTCTGATTGTTTTTTCTAAATCAACAAAATTTTGTGATGACCAATTTTTGACATTGTCATCAATAATTTCTGGATGCCTTGTTAATCCCCACTCAAGAATTTTTCTCCATACAACTATTTCATTGACACATAGATCATCTCTTTCAAGAACTGCCAATATGATTTGTTTTTCCAATGTATTAAATATGCCCGACTCAAACAATTCATCGCCTCTATCGCTAACTTTTTCTAAACATATATTTTTCAATTCACCAAGCTTCTCATTACTATATATAAATTGTAATATTTTAATTGGATTATTTCTTATGTATTCATCAATATTTTTAATAAAGTGATCTTTTATATATTCGTAAAATGACTTTAGATGAAACTCTTTAGCCACATTTAACAATTCCAATATATTGATTCCAGCATGATTACTTAAATCAATATTACAAGTATATAAATACCTTTTAAAAATCACATAAATAAATTAATATTAAAATTATTTAATTAAAAAATACACAATTTATAATAAACTTACTTTAAAATTGTTTTAAAAATTGGCCCGCTAACATTTGGTATCTTGATAATAAAATACTCATTTTCTTTTTGTGCAGAGAAGATATTTTTGAAAAATTGACAATGAACAAAGAGAACAAGCGAGTGTGCATGAAATTCTGTAGTGTTTGTCTCTGCACCAACGTATATTTTAACATCATAATTCTCTTCTGAATTCAATAATATACCAAGTTGATTAAAATGTTCTTCGGACAATGTTAAGTCCATATTTGTTTTTGCTTTTTTTTTTTTTTCAAGAAATATATTCAAGAAAATACACTCCCTATCCGACTGCCTGATGATTAATAATTGGAAATGTTACGCCTTATGCAATTTAAAAATTTTATTAACCAAACCGGAACTGGTGCATTACGTAAACATGTTTTTTAAAGTTGAGTTGCATATAATAATAAACTGATTTTAAGTTAACATCGCAGTGAGTGAGCGGCGGCACATGCACGAATTTGTAAAGTATTTTAATATTAATATTAATATAATAATAATAAACAAAACAGAAGAAAAACGACGGATTGTTTTTTTTCGCAGGGGTAGGAGCAGTAAATGTCAATCAACTAAATATTAATATTAATACGATCTACGTTTTTTAAAATGACCGTAAAATGCAGCACCAAAAAATTTCACAAAAAAATATATTATATAACCTAAAATTTTAATCACGCGATGACTTGCATATTATCTATCTTAATTTATATATCGAAAATTTTTTTTAAACATTTGTCTTGAGAAAGACTTTACTTAGTGGGAGGGACAGATCCGAGCTCAAAAAATGTAAAATTACATTAATTTATTTATTTTATTGGACAAAAAATTAAATATATAAACTAGAAGCGCCTAATGTTTCTTCGGCCATTTGTTTTTTCCAATCTGCATAGGTTCTAGTTATCCAATTAGCAAATGTCGAAATCTTTGGAATTTCTTCTTCAAGCTCTCCATATTCCACATGTTCCAATAGTTTTTCATGCATATTCAAAAAACCGATCTATGGTCAAATGACTATTATTATTGTTACCATCAAAGAAAAAATCAACACCAACACCCTAGTTAATATTACTAATGGTAATAGGTAAATATTGTATATATAACATTGTATTAATGTTTATTTGAATGATGGATGTTTGTTATGTGACCATCAAAAATATTCTAGTTGGGTAATATTAATTCTTGTATTAATATTAATGTTTAGATCTATAGTAAATGATAGATTATTGTCACGCGACCATCAAAAATATTCTAGTTGATATATATTACTAATGGTAATAATTCTTATGGTATATTATATATGGCATTATATTAATATTTATCTTTTTCTTTTGTTATCAAATAAAAAAAATTTAACATCAATAGGTAATGATAATAATAATTTCTATATAATTATATTAATAAACAAGCTGTGACATACGTACAAAAAATTAAATTTACAAATTAGATAATGTTTCTTCTCCCAATTTGTTTTTTTCCAACCCACATAGGTTCTAGTTTTACATTTACATATTTTACATTTAAAATATTATTTTTTGTTTGAGTCAAATTTGGATAAGCTACGTAAATTATGTTTCTTCAGGTTTGCATTTTTTTCTAACTAATTTTGAGAATTATGATCATCATCTTCATTTGTATTATTTCCAGTTATCATAAGACTGTTATTAATGTCAATATCATAACATCCTTGTCCTAAATAATTATTTCTATCAGCTTCATTAACTTCACAATAATCATGAAAATAACTATTTTCTGAATTTTGTTCACTTTCAAATTCATCTTCAGCAAAGATATCTTTTACTAAATCTCTTGGATCATAATTATTATCAGAAAATTCGTAAATTGATTCATCCTGATTAGTTTTGACTATCGTGTGACATTTTAATAAAGAATATTAAATTTAAAAGAAAAAATTTTGTTAAAAAATTTTTTTTCAGGATTGTTATAATATCTCCTTTTCGTCGCATTTTCTTCTTTTCGTCAAATTTCGTCAATTTACCACATTTTACCATTTCGCCAAATTAACAATGATTGACGAAATAATTTCCGCCTACAAAAACATTTCATCAGGTATCATTAATATGAATACTAACTGTGTCATTATTATTTAAAGAATATTTATGCATTGCAGTAACTTCTACTTCAAAATGAACGACCTTGTCACAGCGGACTATAATTAAATCCTTGTCATAACGGATTTTTAAATTTTTGCTTCACATTCACATTAAAATATAAAAACATATAAAAATCCATTATGGCAAGATCAGTAAATCTTGCCACAACAAGTTTTAAATAAATCTTCATTCATCCGCTGCGACAAGATTTGACTGTATTTAGTGAAGCTGGAAACACAATGACATCCGAACGAATAAAATTGAATCCGTTGTTATTTGTATTTTTTTTAAAAAAAAACGCATATTCAACGGATATTCAGTGAATATCCGGTGAATGACTGATTATCCAGGTGTTGAGTTTTATTGACTAGCTGATTATCCGGGTGTTGAGCTTTATTGATTAACCAAGTACTCAAACACCCGGATAATCAACGGATATAACCACTAATGTTTAGAAATGTATTAGCTTGAGCACTGGGATTCTGACAAATTTTATGCTTATAAATTTTAATAAATTTTTTCTTGCTGTGAGGTACTGCTACCTTTTGTATATATAACCCGAGATTCTGTTCATGTTATTCACAGAAAGTTCAGTACTGGGCCAATCTGGTATCACTTTGATTTCAGGATTACAAAGACCAGTTAGTCCTGTTCGATTATTTATTTGGATAGATTTGGTCAAAAAAATAGCAGTTGTTAGCAATTTCAATCATCATAAAATAGTAGCAGTAATTTTAATGATGATAGTGAAGTTGAAAAGTGGAATTATATTAAAATTGATGCAAATGGCTGACTGAACAAAGGTGGCCAAAGAAACCTCAGAGATCACAATTGGTGACAAAAAGAATAAATTTTACATTTATAAATTTTTCTATCCAGTATCAGAATCAAGATCTGGTTTAGCAGCAGTCAAATCAAAATATCAATAAACTATCTTTCAAACTATCTCCCAACACGTTTGCATATCATAACAGTGTTAATCACACAATCATACATTGTCTTGTAATGTATAACAATCCCAAAATCACGAGTCATTCATTAGTATGAAGGAGTCAATGGAAAATCTGGAGAGTTGGCACAACAATCAAATCTCAGTAAACCTCAAAAAGGTTAGTATATTGTTATGGGTCATGTGCACGTTTATTTTGGTAATGTCAAACTTTTATTAAAGCAAATTTTTATTTTTATTTCAAAGGGTTAATGGTAACGAATTTATTTATTGGTTATTATTATACTAAAAATTTCATGATGAACAATTGAATGTATGTATGTATATAGGACCCTGCAAACTTCATAGGTCAGTAACAAAAATTCCTGTTTGTTATATGATTTGACCCAGACCAAATTTAAGTTTAATATAAAACTTGACCCTAAGGTTTTCCATAACATTAGAAAAAAGAACATAATTTGACCTATAATATATAGCATTAAAAATTTTGAAACTGTCCACTGTAATGAAATTAAATTTTACCAATCAATTGGTTTAACTAATAATAATTCACTGATTTTTATAATTCATAATATTTTAATGGTTTTTTTTAATATAAAAGATTTATTATATAAAGGGTTTTTTGAAAGAAAAAATTTGATACACAATTTTTGGTTCTCTAATAAATCGTTGACCCTATTAAACCTAACCAACCTTTTTGATGTATATATATAATAATTTGACCAAATTAATTGACCTATTAATGATAGTTAGATTTGTAAAATTTTAAAATTTAGACCCTATATATTATTATTTTATTTATATTATTTATAATTAAGAAGTTATCTTTAAATTATGATCAATACTTTCCGGGAAGTCTATAAGCTTCC